GGCAACTGCCTTTAAACAGTGTGGCATCACAGGCTACTGCCTTTAAACGGTGTGGCATCAAGGGCAACTGCCTTTAAACAGTGTGGCAACAAAGGCAACTTCCATTAAACAGTGTGGCAACAAAGGCAACCTCCCTTAAACAGTGTGGCATCACAGGCAACTGCTTTTAAACAGTGTGACATCACAGGCTACTGCCTTTAAACAGTGTGGCAATAAAGGCAACATCCGTTAAACAGTGTGACATCAAGGGCAACTGCCTTTAAACAGTGTTGGGACAAAGGAAACTGCCTTTAAACAGTGTGTCATCAGAGGCAACTGCCTTTAAGCAGTGGGCATTACAGGCTACTGCTTTAAACAGTGTGGCATCACAGGCAACTGCCTATAAACAGTGTGGGGACAAAGGCAACTGCCTTTAAACAGTGTGGCATCACAGGCAACTGCATTTAAACAGTGTAACATCACAGGCTACTGCCTTTAAACAGTGTGGCAACAAAGGCAACTTCCGTTAAACAGTGTGACATTAAGGGCAACAGCCTTTAATTAGTGGGCATCACAGGCTACTGCCGTTAAACAGTGTGGGGACAAAGGAAACTGCCTTTAAACAGTGTGTCATCAAAGGCAACTGCCTTTAAACAGTGGGCATCACAGGCTACTGCTTTAAACAGTATAGCATCACAGGCAACTGCCTATAAACAGTGTGGGGACAAAGGCAACTGCCTTTAAACAGTGTGGCAACAAAAACAACTGCCTTCAAACAGTGGGCATCACAGGCTACTGCTTTAAACAGTATAGCATCATAGGCATCTGCCTTTAAACAGTGTGACATCAATGGCAACTGCCTTTAATCAGTGTGGCACAAGGGCAACTGCCTTTAAACAGTGTGGCATCACAGGCTATTGCCTTTAAACAGTGTGGCATCACAGGTAACTGCTTTTAAACAGTGTAGGGGCAAAGGAAACTGCCTTTAAACAGCCAACTGCCTTTGATGCCACACTGTTTAAAGTCACTCAGGATATAATATGGTGGAGGATGACAATACAGTTTTTAATATAGCTTTCTTTTGACACAGATGATGGTTAAAAATGTCTAAAAGATGAGATTGATCCTCCGTAGAGGAAAATCACAATCAACACAACAGGAACAAGGACAAGTGGAAAATGTCATAAGAATAAAATATATATATATATATATATATATATATATAAAACATATATCTACATATGAGGCTGTTCTTTTCAAAATTAGCAATTTAATGAAACATACATTTTGTTTTTGACTGTGTGCTGTGGCTTTAAATCCCATAAGAGAGAAAGAAATCTCCATGAGTCAATATTCACTGTGTCAGCAGCGATTTATCTGTGAAATACAACCTTTTGCCACTGACCCTTTGACCCCCTGTCCTCAGCTCTGTGCCTCCAATTCTGCAGTTTGTGTGTGTATGCATGTGTGGGGGGGGGTCTACTTTAGTGGCTGAGTGTCTCTCTGGTGGCTACAGTCCACAGAGACACAGCCAACATGGGTCCGTGGATGCTTCACAGCATTTTATTTCTCCTGCTTGTCTGTAAATCCAACGGACAGATGGACTTTATGAGAAGGTGACGAGTTTCACTGCTTCTCACTGATCAGTACAGTTTCTATCTTTAAAGTGATGATCACTAATGAAGCTGTGTTTGTTTTTACAGACGCCACTGGGAACACAGGTATGTGTGTTTGAGTGTGTGCGTGTGTGAGTGTGTGTGTGGTTTAAATACTAATTTCTGGATATTCCCTCAGATTTACACCATTTGACAGATATCATCCATTCCTTGAGTAAGTAACCAAAGCTGTTTCAACAGAAAACTTCATATTGATAATGTATAAATATTTATTTTGCATGAGGGTAATATTATAACACAATATATAGACCCAAGCTACAAGCTCAGCAATAATCTTTTTACATTTTATTAGTATAGAAAGAGCAGAGTTTAAGTTCACGCCCTTTTCATTTTCACATGATCTCTATTGCCTTGTTACAATGCTTCATTGTTACAATGAAATGTGTTTATTTGCAGGAATCCAGATGTAAAAGACACAGTTCAAGCTACACCAAGGTACAGCTCCTCGTCTGAAAACACATTGAAATACTGATGGGTTCAGGTTTTCTCTCTCTCTCTATGTATGAAGGATGAGTCTTAGTGTCTGTCTCCTGCCTCATCCCCTGACGTCCTGCAGGTTCACCCTACTGGCTCCAGACCTGCTGAGGACAGACAGCCAGGAGAACATCTACCTGCAGGCTGATGGCCAGTCCAGTCCCATTACCGTCTCCATCTCCATTCAGGACTTCAGTAAGATGGCCACGCTTCTCCAGGACTCTGTCACTCTAAACCCGGACAACGGCTTCCAAGCTCTCAAGACTTTACAGGTGCATCTCTGGGGTCATAGCTTGAGGTCTCTAAGTTTTTGGTGTTTGAGTCAGATGCTGAAAAGAAGAGCTGCAGCAATGGACAGTTTAAGAAGTGTTTTCTGAACATTTGAGCATTTAAACATTTTCAAATAATAACACAAATTATAACCATCAACCTGAATATGAGCAGAATATGTCTCAGTAAAGTATCGATTCGATTGAATCCTAATTCTGTTGCCGTTTCATCTCAGCTTTCTTCGGATCATTTGAATCGCGATGAGAAAAAGAAAAAGTTTGTGTACCTGAAGGTGAACTTTGGCAGCCTCCACTCAGAGGAGAGGTTACTGATGGTGTCGTTTCACTCTGGATACATCTTCATCCAGACAGACAAACCCATCTACAACCCTGGAGACACCGGTGAGACCTGAAGATGCACAAACACACAAAGCTCTGCAAAGGATGTGACCTATGCTTTTTAAGGTTTATTGATGATGTTAATGTTTCTGGCTGAAGGCTATACGAGGACGTAATGTTCAATAAATTGTATTTCTCTGTGTCAGACCTTTTCTCAAAACTTGAGTGAAACTTTCCAGTGCATCTGTATCCCAAATGTTTGGATGTGTGAATATTTCTCAAGTGGTTTTTGGAACTGATGTCCATGTTTTCCTCTCCAGTTCAGTTCAGAGCCTTTGTGTCGTCTCCTTCCTTTAAGGCCTTTGACACTTCCATCACAATGGATTTTAAGGTAAATAATTAGTCTAATATTAATTAACAGATGATTCATCAGAAATGTATTTTATCAATTAATCATTTTATAACAAAAAAAGGTAAACTTGTTGCCTCTTTTCTCTGTTTTAATATCTTTCATTCGTTTAATCAAACTTTAAAATTATATTGATTAGGAAGTTAAGTGGTGCCTCAAATTAAATTTCGGTTTCATGACATTTTTTTGTTGTTGCTGTATTTAAATGAACAAAATTTCGTTTTACCTTTCAAACTTTTGCTTAGTGGAAAATATTAATTTTTCGTCTCGGATATAATCACCTCCCTTCAAACTACCCATAGGAGTTGGTCCCCACCATGAGCAAGTTACCACTTCAGTCAATAATCAAAAATAAAGTCTGATTGACTTTACCCTTCTTGTACAAAAATGTTACACAAAGTGCTTGACAGAATAAAATCAGTAAAAATGCCATGACTCCTACTGATTTGTTCCTTGTTTCAGAATCCAGACGGTGTTGTAGTTAAACAGATACTCAGGATGAGAGCCATCAATGGCATCTTTGCGAACAAGTTCCCTCTCTCTGAAATTGTTAGGTATGTTCTTTTAGACGTTTAAATTACAAATGTCAGTGTTTTGGAAAACTGTGAATGTAAAGAAAGGTGTGTTTTCAATGGTAAGCTTTCACCTGTCATGTGTCAATGTCCGTCAGTGAAGGAACATGGACGGTGATTGCAAAGTTCGACGATTGGCAGCAGAACACCTTCACCTCGCAGTTTGAAGTGAAGAAATACGGTAGGTGGAATCAAACCGTTCACTTCGGCTAAGAACGTCAGTCACAGCTTGATGTTATCTTATCATTATCACGTTTCAGAACGGCTCTCTAACTACATAATAAAGTTCTGTTTTCATTTTCATGGCGTGTTCCGCTCCAGTGCTTCCTGCTTTTAACGTTACCTTGACACCCAGGAAGTCCTATCTCGACCTGGACGACAGTGAGCTGGAAGTAGAGGTCTCGGCCAGGTTGGTACCACACATTCATACTGATACCAAATGTTACTGCAATTTATTTTACATCTGTTAGCTGCTTTTAATCACCAACCGTGTTAACCCACACTGCTACTGATTGAACTTCTGCTGTCACTCCTGTTGACTCTGAACTGTAAATAACGTCTCTGATTCCTCTCACGGTACAAACATGAAGCTAAATATCTCAGATAGAGCCGCCACTATCTTGTGCTGGTGACGTTTTGGTGTCTTTGCAGCAGCTATTGTGGAATTGACCAATCCCAAATCAGTTTGAGCTGTCAATCATCACGTTTCACTCCATCAAAATTATTTGGCTTCACTTTTGGGAGCTGTCATGTCATCCATCTTTCTGTAATCTAAAACAGAAAACATCGCAAGTTAAAAAAAACCTCTCATAATGTCAAATAAAGTGAAAAAAGATTGGAAGCAAAATTGAATTTATTGACCCATGACACATCCTTCTGTCAAGGTTCATGGAAATCTATATGGAAAACACAGACTGTTGTAACTGTTGTTGTCATTGGGACTTTCAGGTACCTGTATGGGGAACCGGTCCAGGGAACGGCCTATGTGGTGTTTGGAGTGAAGATCAACACAGAGATGACACGGCTTCCTTCAGTGAAGCAGGTGTCAGATGTGAGTGATTGATTACAGCTGCCACATTAATGAACGGTCAGGTTTTTAATTGGTTCTCATCGGCATTATCTTCTGGAGGAATTTATTGGTATCAAGGTTTATCGATATTTTTTCATTTGCGAGCCATGCTAAGCTCTGAGGTTTCTGTTGACTAGTTTCCATTAAGGCAAGATTGACCTCAGTTCCTGTGTTTTTTAAACGGGAGCTGGTGAGAGCCATTAGAATCAACCATACAGAGTAAGTATAAGTAAAAGTAAGTAAGTAACTTTTACTTATGAAGCACCTTTCAAAACCAAAGTTACTGTACAAAAACAAACATTTAGATAAAAACAGCATAAGACACAAACAGTAGAAGAATAAAAACCACAGAAGCAAAAACAATGGAACCATAAGGACTAGAAATTAAAATATTTACAAAATAGGTGAGTTTTTTAACAACTTCTTAAAACTGTTGATGGACTCTGCATTTTTTATTACTAAGGGAAGACCGTTCCAGAGGGTGGGAGCATTGACAGAAAATGCCCAGTCATTTTAATCTTGATTATGGGATGGACAGAGGGCCTCGGTCAGGGGCCAGTTCGTGTAGTGCTTTATGTAATTAATTTAATAATCAAATTAAACCAGCTGCAACAGAAAACAGTCTTCATGTCTGTAGAATGTTTCATAAAATTACTCTTGTGTGTTCTTGTTTCGCTCTAGCTGGATGGAGGTGTCGTCAGGCTCAGCATGGAGGAGATCAAGAGAGCGTACCCCGACATTAGGTCCTTGGTGGGAAATTCAGTGTACGTCAAGGCCTCTGTGCTCACCAAGACAGGTACGAACACCAAGACAGGTTTGAACACCAGAACAACAAAGTTCAAGTGACATTTTTATCAGGAGCGCCTTCATCTAATTTCCATAGTTAAAATCAGGTGCAAATGTAGAGGACAGAGGAAGCTGTCTCAGCATTTCAAACGAAGTCTGGAAACATGGACTGTGCAGTGTTGTTGTTGTGACGCACTTTGTTCAGTTTGCTTTGTTTGCACAGTGCAGCATGACCAAACTCTCCATAATGTTGTAACCAGCCCACGGATCGATGGCCTCATCTGTGCAGCTCCACTTTTCGGAAATGCAACTTGTAGTCAGATGTGTCTCAACACACCCTTTAACCCCCTGAATAAACTGCCTGGTGTCCCAACACTAAGTTAATGTTATTTTAGACGTTTGAAAGCAAAACTCCTGAACATTCTCAGCTTTAAATAACTGGCAGCCAAAGGAATTCTTAATCTTGAATAGACGTGAAACTCTTCTTATTTAAACACCGGGGACAAACAATGGTACCCTGCATCATAATCTTTATTTTTATTTGCTTGGATTTTGCCCAAACTGTGCTCTTGCACTCAGAAATGTTGCTGCTTGCTCTCAGATTTCCTGCTCTGTATATCTATGCAGGCGGTGAAATATCAGAGTGCAAGCACACAGTTTGAGTTCAAGCAGAGCAAATCTAAGAACAAGCATTTGATAAGGAGCAAAAATCTGAACGTCAAACGTTTAAGTCCTGCTCTCAAACTCAAAAACCATGAGTTGAGAGTCACGGAATTATTCGAGTTTGAGGTTTTTTCTCTTTTTTGACTTTGATTGTTCTTCTGTACAGGCAGTGACCTGGTTGAAGCCGAAAAGAGCGGGATAAAAATCGTGGAGTCTCCGTATGTCCTATCCTTCAAAATACCAAAGTACTTCAAGCCTGGCCTTCCCTTTGACTTTACAGTAAGAACAGTCGTCTGGGTTTTGCGGGATCTTCTGATCATTGACTGTGAGTGAATAAAATCACAGAGACACATTTTTAACGCACCTGTCCAGATCCAGGTGAGCCACCACGATGGTTCCCCGGCCCACAATGTTGAGGTCAAGGTGAACTTGTTGGATGCTCCGCTGGTCGTCACCTTCGGAACTGCCAGAGCCACCATCAACATGCCCGCCAGGCAACACCCTCAAATTATTACTGTTAGTACTTTTGCTTTTACTCACACAGCGTCCGGGTTTTTATTTTTTTTATCCTTTCATTTTTACTTAAACTGCTACCTTTGGGTTTTGAACAAAATCTATTCTGAGAAGATGAAATAATAATTTATCTTATGCATTCGTGGATCTGTTGTTTGGTGTAAATCAGTAAAACTATTAACACATTTAAGCAGTTTTTTTCCTAAATATGTAAAGTTGGTTTCGAAAATCCTGAAACCATCATTGTCCTATTGTCTTTATGTTATTGCTGCTGAACAAACAGATGTCTCTCTTTGATCTGTGTTTTTTATTCTCAGGCTGAGACCACAAAGGCTGGTCTGAGACCAGACCAACAGGCCAAAAACAAGGTGCTTGTTCTACCGTACCAGAGCTTCAACCGGCGCCGAGCGAACTATCTGTACATCTCCATGGGGACCAACACGGCGTCTGTTGGAGACATTCTGTCCGTGAAGTTGACCATCAGTGCAGCTGAGTCGACAAACAGAGGCGCCATCAAACACATCACCTACCTGGTGAGACAGAGCATGTGCGATACAATTGGAGAAAGTAAGTAAGTGAGTTGGAAAATAAAGTAAAAAGTTAAAAAATGTTCTCCTCTCAGGTGCTCAGCAAAGGCAAAATCATAAACGCCGGACGTGTGGATGTGACTGGTCAATTGTTGACTGCCGTTGCGCTGGTGGTCAAACCGGAGATGATGCCATCATTCCGTTTTGTGGCTTTCTACAGCATCCCCTGGGTGGGGCGTGAAGAGGTGGTGTCAGACTCTATCTGGGTGGATGTGGTAGATTCCTGTGTTGGAGGGGTGAGTCTTCAGCTCAGATGGGTGTTTCATGACTGAACAAGATCATAGCAACACACAGCGGAGAAAAACTGGACTATCCATACATTTCTGCAATACTGCTTTCAGACCTGCACTCCAGTTCAGACGCTTCTCTGAGGTTCTGTATGTGAGAACACAAATGTCAGAGTCAGTGGCTCTGCACCTTTTCTGGATCTTTTACTGCATCCCCCTCAGTAAAATGTCACAGTGAGCGAGGGGACGTGTTGATGAGGTTTCTAACACGTGACTGACATGAAACTGGAAGAAGACAAATATCTCAGTCTTCTATGCCGTATGCGTAGAAGACATCAACTTGGAAAAATGAGGAGATTCCAGAACTTTTGGTGATAAGGGCCGTTACAGTGTGGGGGGTGCAGTAAACAAAAACACTGATCTATCCACAGCAGAATTTATACGTCTGATGAACAAGTCTGACCTGAACAATCTCCTGCTGCCCGGATCCAGTTCTATAGATATTAGATCAGTGTTCTGTAGTTTTTCTACTTTCTATGCAGTAAATTCTCGTGTGTCAACGTGTTCTTTTATTATTTCTGTCTCACAGTTGAAAGTTGGGCCAGTGGACGGCATTCATCGAGACTATGCCCCTGGGAAGAAATTTCGTTTTCAGGTCAGAGGTGACCCGGGGGCAAACGTCAGCCTTGTGGCTGTGGACAACGCTGTCTACCTGCTCAACAAAGACAGGCTCACACAGAGAAAGGTGTGTGTGTGCAACAGCCAGTGGCCTGTTGTGAACATGATATCTCAATAATGCCTTAAGGGAATTTTTTCAAGTTTGGCACAAATGTTGACTGACTCAAAGATGACCTGATTAGATTTTGGTGATTGAAGGTCAAAGGTCAAAGTCAGTGGGACCTCACAAAACAATTTTTTTACCTTCTGAACACGATATCTCAAGTCTGCCTTCAGGGAACACTTGTCACTTGGACTCAAAGAAGAACTGGTCAGAGTTCTGTGGTAAAGGTTATTTTTAAGACTGAAACTCTACTGGTTTTTAAGTGAAGCAATGAAATATACTGTCAATGGTTAGAGTTACTATGGAAACATTAAAGAAAATTCTTTGTTGTAAAGCAGATGTGAATTCATCTTATTTTTCCAATTTACCTTTAAGGTTTCAAACAATAATCGTCATTTTACAAGTGACATAATAGCGTTTTAAAAAATTATATGGTTTCACGAGTCATCAGGTCATTTGTTGTTATGCATCAATAATCTTTTAAAGAACACAAAACTGAAAACTAAAACACAAACCAATAAAAAGCTCATGTGTCGTTATGTCTCACATCAGATGTGGAACGTGGTGGAGCACGGAGACTTTGGCTGCACCCGCGGGGGGGGCCAAGACGCCAAGGGGGTGTTCAGAGATGCCGGACTTCTCTTTTCTTCCAGTGCCGGATACAAAACTGGAACCAGAGAAGGTGCCTGTCAACTTCTGTTCTGGGAATTCTGGCTACTTTTTTCACGTACATGCTGCTGGACGACTTAATCATTGGGTGATGTCGATGTTTTTATTAGTGAGAAAAGTAATTAGAACACGTGTATGGATTAATGAACAGATGAAATATATGACTGATGCAAAGTCTGCCTAAGAAATACTGCCTGAATAAGTTCCTTTTATTTTTATGTTGTGATTGGTGTTATAAACTTTATTCAAAAAGTTTCATGCTAATCCGATCAGTAGTTTTTATTCTTGCTTAGAAACAAATAGGGTTGAAAATATAACCTGCTTGGCAAATGTAAATATTAAGTTAATGGATCAATAGATTTCTCTCTTCTCCTCTTCCTCATACACATCCTCTCATCTCCTCTCCTCATCTCTTCTCCTCTCCTCACCTTTTGTCTCCCTCCTCCTCTCCTCTTCTTCCTCCTCTTCCTTTCTTTCCTCCTCTTCCTCCTCCTCTACCCTACACAGCCCTGCAGTGTCGCAGCAGTACCAGGAGGAGGCGCTCTGCTGAGCTGCTAAAGCGTAAAGCTCAGCTGGGTGAGTGTCCTCTTCTAACAGAGCATTTGTGGGATGGATTTCTCTTCAAATACAATAAGTTTACAGTGATGCCAATAATAGTTGATAATAAACTATTGATTACTGATATTGACCCCCCCCCCGTCTCCAGAGAGTCTCTACAAGGAAAAGCTGCAGCATCGTTGCTGTAAGGACGGCCTTAGGGAGATCCCCATGCCCTACTCTTGCACACGCCGGTCCCTCTACATCACCGAGGGCTGGGAGTGTATCCGGGCCTTCAGATACTGCTGTGCCACTTACAGGGACCAGCTGTTTGACACTGAGGTTCCCACCACCCCACCACCCATCACCACAACACCCCCCACAACCAGCGCGCCACCCAGACCCACTTTTTCCTTTCGCTTTACTTCAGTGGGCCTCAGTCCAAGGCGTCATAACAGAGGTAGGTTCTGCACCTCAACCTTCATCTCTCCTCAAAATACTTTGAAATGTGGTGCTGTGATGTTGACCATGTTCTTCATATTAGTTAAGTGTGAGGAGGAGGTTTGCTATTAAACTTGGATGTGCTGCAAGTTGTTTTTGAAGCAGTTTTCAGTTTGAACCATTTCTTCTTTATTCAGTTTATTCCAGCCCAGGCTTAGTATCAATACAATCAAGTGGGCGCATGACCAATGAAAATAAAGACTACATGATGGAAAGACATATGGTGGAGGGGCAGGCAGCACCAGAGGAGGAGGAGGAGGAAGATGAAGAGGAAGAGGAAGAGGGGGAGTACCTGGATGAGAGTCAGGTGTATCTGCGTTTCAAGTTCTACGAGTCGTGGCTGTGGACGATTGTGAACCTGCCGAGCACAGCAGACACAGACGGGTGAGTGACGAAGGAGAGGGGAGGTCACATCAAGTTTAATAAAACTCATCATGTGGAAAGCTTGATTTGACTCTTATGTTATTGATCTTCACTTCACAGTATCATTTGTTCCTGTGGAGATGAATGACATCCTATATATTATACTAAATGATTTAAGATGAATGATCTAAATAAAGGTTGTGGAATAATTGCACATAGCTTGTTTGCTTTAAGCCCTGTTTGTATTTATAGGTTAGATAATTAGATTCTGTGATGCTGCACTGGAGGTTTTCAATCTTTGGTTGTTAGAATAAAAATGAAAATCCAACCAGACATGTGGTGAACTTCATTTGAGAGAAGAAATGAGTTGAACATTTCATCATGTAGCACAGTGACTTCCTGGGTTACGTCATGTTGTGTTTGTCAGTGATAACAGAATCAACAGAGCTGACTCTTGTTCCCATCTGTGTAATTTGTGTTGCTCTGTTCTGTACTCTGTACTCTGTGTGTGTGTATTTGTGTGTGTGATGCCTGAAAGTGTGTTACTTCCTCCCCCTCATTGTTCTGGTACGTGCATCAGTCAACCTGAACTCACCAACTGCTGTTATTGTTTAAGTCAAAATCAAACAGCATTTTTTCATCTAATTTAGGTTTTATTTGTATATTTGTTTGGTTTCAATATTTCTGCAGCACATTGCACATTACTTTTAGGGGGCATCTATTTATAAGCAACTTTTTCTCTGAGAGCTTTATAACACAGACATTAATCTGATCAACAGCTTGGCGACTGTGAACATGGAGAACCCTTTACCTGACAGCATCACAGAGTGGGGAGTTCTGGCCATTAGTGCTTCGCCTCACACAGGTAGGAGGGCGATGATGATGGGGAGGAAGAGGAGGAAAAGGAGTGAATGAAGATGTCTAATCACACACCTTTTGGAACTGTGTGTAGGTTTCTGTGTGGCCGAGCCATACAACGTCAGAGCGTGGAAGCATTTCTTTGTGGACCTGAGGCTGCCGCATTCAGTGGCGAGGAATGAACAGGTCGAGATCAAAGCTGTGATCCACAACTACGGCTCCGACGACCTGCATGTAAGAGTGTCACCAGAGAAAGGTTTAAAAAGTACAGGATGGATTTTCTTTAGTATTATTTCATGATGCTGAGGCTTGTGAATCTCATTAGTTTTTGCAGGTATTTAGTCATAAAACCAAGTAAAATGTCAACTTATTCGAATAAATGAGTTAATGCACTAAAACAAGAGGAAAAGTAAAACATTGCTGAATGTGTCTTGACTGATTTTCCTGTTCAGGTGAGGGTGGTGCTGATGAAGACGCAGGACATGTGCAGCATCGCCTTTAAGGACAGACACACACAGGAAGTGATGTTGCCGGCCGGCACTTCCAAGGCGGTGCCTTACACCATCGTGCCGCTGGTGGTGGGGAAACTTCCTCTAGAGGTGCTGGTGGTCGGCAGAGACATGATGGGAGGAGACCACATCCAGAAGTTTCTACGAGTGGTGGTGAGTCACACTTGAGCATGAAAATTCATCGCAGCATAAACAGGGTTTGGTAATGAGAGTTGGTAAAGTTGATTCCTTTAAAAAGCAAAAAAATTATATTGTGCAATAGAAAATGTCTCGTGCGTTAACTTAATTTGATAAAAATCTGCGTTTATATTGAAATCAGCTGGATGGAGTGCAGAAGACTGAAGTGCGGAGTTCAGTGTTGAATCCGTCTGCTGAAGGAGGTGAGTAGACTTCCTGTTATTTCCTGTCAACTGCATGTTAATCAGTGGCGTCACAGCTGAGAGGGTGGCCCCTGGCCCCTGAGAATGGCTAATTATGTTAATCCACAGCAACAAAAAGTTTCTCCCTTAGATTTTATGATTGGTTATGTCCAGGAGTCCGCAACACCATGGTCAGTCGGTCGGTCGGTCGGTCGGTCGGTCGGTGGGATGGATGATAGATTTCTGTTTGTTTTATGCCTCTACTCCGGCAACAGTTTCCATAATTGTTTTCTCTTTGTCCGTCCCTCTGTCCCACTCTTTTTAACGCCATCTCTCAGATGCGCCAGGAGCAAATTTTTTTGAATTTGGTACAACTGTTCCCTTGGAATTAAAGTTGAACTGATTAACTTTGGTTGTAAAAGGTCAAAGGTCAACATAACTGTGACATCATAATGTTATGCAGAAAAACTTTTCGGAGCATTATTCAGCACCATAACCCTGGAGGTATATTTCCTGCAGCTTGCCTGGCTGTCAGAGACGAGACCTCTAGTTTTCAGGGTTGACTCCTCTTCAGGTTTATGCAGTCATTAAACATGTTTGTCTCGGGATCCATCCTCTGCAGGAACACAGACGGTTCGTGTGGAGAGGATCAAGCTGGAGTCAGTCGTGCCAAACTCTGTCCCGGAGACATTCATCAATGTCAGAGGTCAGTCACTATCAGAGCAGAGATAAGGATCACACCTCAGAGAATGAGCTGATTCCCGACCCCCCCCCCCTCTCCTCTCCAGGCAACGTGTTGGCAGACAGCATCGATAACTCCATCAGTGATGACTCTCTGGCATCTCTGATCCAGATGCCCGGCGGCTGCGTGGAGCAGAACTTGGCCAGAATCACTCTGCCGCTCATCGCCACTCTTTACCTGGAGCGAACCAACGACTGGGAGAGCGTGGGGGTGCAGCGCAAGGCTGAGGCTATCCGATACATCAGGAGAGGTGAGAGAGGAGGGGTGGATGGGAAATGGTTAGATGGACGATGGATGGAAGGATGGACTGAAGACATGCTGGAGAGAGCGATAGCCAATTAACTTGATGGATGATGAATGGAAATATTTCACCCCTTCACATCCCCTCTTTAAATTATTTTATGAACCCTGACCTTTGACATCGACTCTTATTTTTCAGGCTATGAGAACCAGCTGGCGTACAGAAAGCCTGATGGCTCTTACCCCCCCTACAGGCGTGAAGGTGCAAGCACATGGTAATTGTGAAACCCTCTACCTGTTGTCTGAGAGCACATTTATCCACACTGTGTTTGAACGTGACTAAAGGTTGGCTGATGTGCATGTCAGGATCACAGCATACGTGGTGAAGGTGTTCTCCATGGCTCACTCTATCATCGGCATCAACGAGCAGCAAGTGTGCGACCCTCTGATCTACCTGGTGAAGAACAAACACCGCTTAGTTCCGGGAAAGTTTGTGGAGGACAACCCTGTTTACAGCACTACCATGACTGTGAGGCACACACACACACACACACGCAAATATAAACACATAGTATGTAATTGTACCTGAAATAAGCTTTTCCACGGTTCCTTTATTAAATAACTAGTCAGTCACCCACTGTATGGGCCTGTAGAAACTGAATCATGTTTATCACAAATCTCTGGTAACAAGAGAATTTATACCTCCGCCAAAAGCCCCATTTTGAAACTATATTTAAATCCTGATTTTTATTTGGATCTGCACCTAATTGCACACACTCATGAAAATCAATCACTTACATCTCAAATCGTTCTTTTGGAAAAGTATCCGAGAAAAGCAAATCTCAGATCTTTTGCTTTGTCCGGATCAGCACCAAATTCACATGGCTTCTTTTTGAGCTCATATCCCATTGTTCCACTGAGTTTAGTAAAAATCAGTTCGGTAGTATTTGCATGAAACAAACAAACCAACCCACAAACTAGAACAGAGGTGAAAACATAACCTACATGGCAGATATAAAAATGGAGATACAATAGCACTGGTGTTATTTTGTTAAGTTGTAGATGTAACTTAGGCATCACTTACCACTCCTCAGAACCACAGGGTTCTCCTGCTGTTTTGCATCAACAGTGCATCGTTCAGGAAGAAACACAAGAAGCAAGGAACAAAAAATGCACCTGAGAAATTAAATTAAAAAAAATTTGGAAATTGTGCTTTGAGTTTAAAGCCTTTTATTTCCCAGGGCGGACTCAGAGGCGACGACCCTGAAACAACCCTGACAGCCTTCGTCCTCATAGCGCTCGCTGAGTCCAAGCAGGCGGGGATCCGCTGCGCGAGTGCAGATGTAAACTTGGATGTAAGTTAAACTAAGAACAAAGAAACTGCAGTGTCACATTTCATCTGTAAAATATTTTTTTTACTTTATTGTTATGATAATTGGTTGTAGAATCAGTAGTTGTATTAAAACATCTCTTGTCACAGATGATCATTGAAAGGACAGCCAAGTACCTGATGAAAGCACTGCTTTTGCCGGGGAGGAGGCCGTACACTGTGGCCATCGCCTCCTACGCCCTGGCTCTGGTGGAGAAGGATCGTTTCAGCCTGACGTGGTTACTCAGAGCAGCAGCTCCAGGTCACCGGCACACACCGGTTTCATATCTGCAAAGACATCAAGTTACTCATCATCTCTTAAGAAACTTGGTTTTGTGAAATGTCATTGACTTTTGTTTCAGAGAACTAAATTTTACACTAAGAGAATTCAGTAAGAACGGTTAAGTGCACTCAGAGAGATCACACCTCCACCAACATTCTCCTTATGAAACCACATTTAAATTCATGAGATCAAGATTTTCATTTGGATCTGCACCAAATTTCAAACACATCTTTTTTCATCAAGATCCATGAATTAAATTCAGTTTTATTTGTAAAACGTCAATGTTGAAGAAAATGTTGAAAAACGCACAACCTCGCCAATGTTGATATGTTCTTGATAAGTTTTTGCGTAATCCTTCAAACTAACAGACAAACAAAACATGCCTTGCTCTCTCTCTCCTCCAGGTGGCAGTCACTGGCCCGACAGTCATAATGACTTGTTCACCCTGGAGGCAACCGGCTACGCCTTGCTGGCTCTGGTGAAGTTGGGAAACATGGAGCAAGCAGCAGTAGCGTTCAAATGGCTGAACAGCCAGCGACGAAGAGGCGGCGGCTTCGGTTCCACTCAGGTACCACCAGCAGAGGGCGTCTGGCGTTCTTTTCTCATTTATTCACCTGCTACATATCTCCTCAATTAAGATAAAGCCATAAAGCACCTTCCCCTGGAGGGAAGTAAATAAATTACCAAAGTTAGCTCCTCATCCTCGTTAGCTCAAACTATTAGTCGACTAAGTAAAAATAAATATTTTTGATGTGCATCAGAAAAACCCACGACAGGCAGAAAATGAAAACTCAGGCTGGCAGATTTGAACCCTTAACCCTCTTGCTGTGACACGTCAATGCTAACCACTGTCACACCGTGTCCCTGCCCCAATTTCATCAGTGAACATGAGACGACGGGTTTGTTTGTTTTCCTCCTCCTGTCCTCCCCCAGTCCACCATGGTGGTGCTCCAAGCGCTGTCAGAGTACCAGATCAACAAACCCCCTCCCGGCGACCTCAGTCTGGATGTGGACGTCAGGATTGCGGGTCGCAAGGAAATCCGTTACCATTTCAACCCCAGCACCACCTACGCTGCTCGCTCCTCCAGGGTGAGGCATCAGAGAGAAAGTGAAATTGTGAAACATTCAGGTGTTCGTCACGGTTACTGATATCTGCTCTGGGGCTTCTCTCGTGCAGCTGCCTGCAAATCTTGATCTTGAGGTGGAGGCTCGAGGGAACGGACAGGGGATCCTGGAGGTATCACTCTATAACACAGGACTCACACACTGGAGGCTTTAGTTGAAATGCTGCTCATTCACTTCAGTTGTTCTGTTGTGACGCTTTTCACGCACTGACAGCTAGATTAGCATGTTACTACAAAACTCAGCTAGGTTGTGTTTCCACGGTGTCACGCCTTTTATTCCACTCAGTTCTGTTTCTTTCTCTACTTATGTTCCAGATACGCTAACTATTATTTAAGAGCAAAGATTTCTTTTTAATTTCCCCTTGTATTGATCCATTTAAATGATTGCCGTCGTGTTTGTCTCCAAGGTTGTGACCTATTACAACCAAGTGCATGAGGTGGATGAGAAAAGACCCTGTGAACACTTTGAGCTCAACGTCACCATTGAAGAATCCAGTGGTAAAGTTCTCATGTGACGTCTTGATCCTCTGTGTTATTTTCTGTTTTCTAGCTGAGGTCACGTTTACTCCCACAAGACAATGAAATGCATTTTCAGTAAATATTTCAAATCTGAACAATCAGTTTCAACATAAAATGTCAATAATGCTAAAGTGTTTTTAAAGAAAAATAAAATAAACTAGATATTACATCATACACATAATGTCCTCAAGGGATTTATAAGTATTATTCATTATTAGCCTAAAACAATAATTCTGTCTTTGTTTGTGTAACAGAGAAGCCTCCAGCAGATGCAGAGAAGTCCTACCAGATCACCATCAAAGTGAGGTCAGTTATTTTCATTATTATTATTCTTGTCTTCACATGATTTTCAAAACTCAATTTGAACAAAACCCTAAAAGGCTGCTGACTAAAATATTATAAAGTTTATATTTGTTAACTGAACTGAACTCAATTGTTCAAACATTTTATTTGATAGGATTCTTTAATCGCAGGTTGACTCACTTCGATGATGTTGCTCCAATTCGGATCCTTTAGAGACGTAGACTGTTGTCTGTTTGTCGTCGTCCGTCATCAGTTGTGTCTTCTCCGTCTCTCCTACAGAGCGCTGGGACCCAGAGACGTGAGGATGGTCGTCCTGGACGTCAGTCTGCCCACCGGCTTCACCCCAGAAAACTCAGACCTGGAGATGGTAGCTCTTTTTACATTATGGGAAATTATTTCAGTTCAAGCCACAAAAGTTTTCATAGTTTCGTAAATTTACTGTCAATGTTGTTTATTTTATATTTTTGGGAAAAAACACCTGAACGGATATAATCTGATAATTTCACTTTTTAAAATTAGAGCCTGAAGGATTTTTTAAAATGAGAAAAGAAAACACAAATACAACCAAATATATAGAACTTGAATTTAAAATCTCTCCCTGCCTCTTCATGCATCACTAAAGAATGCAAACAGTTTTTAATACTAAAAATGTGTTTGATAAGGGTCGTGAAAGAAAGTTTTGTCATCAAACCCTAACTCATGTCGATCAGAGAATTTTAAAAAAGTTTCCTGCATCATGATGACCTGCTAATTCTGTGTGTGTGTGTGTGTCCAGTTGTTGAACTCAGTCGACCGTTACATCAATAACTTCCAGATTGTTGATAACCTGAGTGACAGAGGCTCCCTGATCATCCACCTCTTCAAGGTAACTACGATATTCTGAAGATTGTGTTTTCACTCCCGTCCATTTGTTTGTGTGTTAATTCATTAATTAGCAAGATTGCATTCAAATGAGTGAACAGATTTTCATGGAACTTGGTAGAAGTCAGAGAAATATCCATTAAATTCTGGTGCGGATCCAGATCAGGGATTATTTGTTTCACTTTTTTTTTTAATTGTAAAACAGGACATTTTTGAACATTTTCACTGATTAAGTATAATTCATGGATCTTTAATGGAAAAAATCCATCATATTTTCGAGAACATATATAAATGTGAAATGGTGCTTGATTGAAGAAAAAACTTCCTCACAGCTCCTTCATGCCAAAAATACCTCCTTCCTAAACCTGGTATAAAACAGATTACATATACTAACATAATTTTTCACTTTCAGTTTCNAAGATGGTGGATGTTCTGAGTCCAAGAGAAGAGAAGTGATAAAGACGCCTGTTGAGAGCTGACAGGTGAGTGAGCTGTGGAAACTGGAGGAGCCAAAATGGCGTTTCAATGGATTGGACACTGAACTGTGTGTCTCACCTGCTCACTGTGGTCAAGTCTGTCCCCAGGATCAGGAGATTGATGAGAGTTTCTCTTTTTTCTGATCAATTGAACCAAATAATACAAAATAAGTTGATTTAATTTACCAGGACAGATTTTCAGGAATTCATGGTACAAAGTTTKAGTGAAACAGATTTGCTCACCTGATCAGAAAGAAAACGGAGAGGAGAGTTACAGCGAGGAGAGTTACAGCGAGGAAAGCTGCAGCGGCTGATCCAATGACTGCTGAAGTCCAAACTATGATGAAACAACTTTGACTTTATCGTATTTAAACATTTACAAAAACAACTTGGTGAAAACTGTCTCGATGTTCTGACTGAATATGAAGACAAACGAAATGAAGGCTGCCCGTGAAGCCAGAGTGTCTCGATCGCCCCSTGGTGGCTCCATGTTAWCAAGTGGGACATGGACCAAACTAAAGAATCAGTCAGAAATCAAAACAATGTCAAAGATGGTTTCTGTCATTTTCAGGTTCTTATCACACTGATGTTTGTTCAGTGTTCATGTTTCTAATACGTTTGGTTGTAATTAGTTATTTCATGATAGAAAAATGGGCTGAGACCAACTCATGATTGGTCGAATGTGTGAATAGGCSRGACCTTGATAATGTGGCTCCATCCCCCATTCGCCATCGAACAGACTCTGGCTCCAAATGACATCATCAAGATGGCAGCGTTTGTATCTGGGATATTTTGGCTTCATTGTGGAGGACGTGGAGACACGTCGTCCATCTTTATATATACAGTCAGTGGTTCACACCGAAATACAAGAGGAAGATCATCTTTAATCTTAAATTGTGTCTCAACAACATCATATAACTATTATAATATATAATAGTTTGGTGTGAAACAATCATTTGCTCTGCACCAAACTCACAGAGATGATCAAGGGCAACAAGAAACACATCTGCTTTCCATCATAAGGTGAATTTTGACATTTGGTATAAATTCAAATATTGACCTGCTCCAACAGTCACATGTAAGGAGGCGTCACTACGTCCTCGTCTGTTCTGAGCCTCACACCGATAATTTCCACCATGTTCAGCTGTGATATTAGTGATGGTGAAG